TGGGTCTATTTTAATTTCTCAAATAGATTTTTAGAATTTTGAGCAATAAATCAAAGTTTGAAGGAAAATGAAAAGTTATTAAGTTGCATTAATTGAATAAAGAGTTAATAGGATTCTCATGTCTATCCCCTTTAGAACATCTCCAAATGACTCTTTATATGATCTAACAAACTCTTTGTTATAAAGAGTTTGTTCATAAAAATAAGAGTCCAATAGACTCTTTATTATTTAAATATAAATTAAAGAGTGAGTTTGACTCTCTACATCTAGAAAGTCAAATTTTACTATCTATCCTAATTTTATTTAATAAATTACAAGTTTCTATACATTTTATTATTAATTATCTCTTTCCTATTAAGTATTTCTCCTATTTATTAAATCTAATTCAAAGAGTCCATTGGATTTTAATACAAATTTTGTTCTTTATATTTAGAAATTAATGAAGATACTCTTTATTTATGTGAAATATGCTCTTTAAAATAAAGAGCATCATTGGAGATGCTCTTATATAAGTACATTTGTATTGGAATCATAATTTTAAAAAGTTAATCCCATGGGTAACGAGGAAGAAGATAAATACTAAGGGTGCGTTTGGTTCAGAGAATATTGTATTATTGGGAATGTTATATTAAGGAAAAAATAGATTACCTTGAAAGATTACTGGAATGTTATATTAATGTGTTTGGTGGAGAAGAATAAATTAGTAGATATGTTATATTTATATGCTTGGTTGAGAGGAATAAATTGGTGGATATGTTATTTAAATGACTGAATTGCCTTTTTTTTTTTAAATAATATTGTTATTTAAATCATTAATTTGTACCCCCTACATTAAATTTTTTTTTTTTGCTAAAACACCCCCATAATAAAAGTTTAAAAATCAACAAAGACACCCCCACCCACCCAGCCACTACCGATTGCCAACCACCACCATTGGCCTCCAGCAACCAAACGACATAGGTTGACCGGATCTTGTCGGTCGTGCGTCGATCTGGCTAGATCTTTGCCCAGAAATGGCCAAATCTATTATAGCTGTTTCTGGTCAGATTTTTTGATCTGGTCGTTTTTGGCTAGATCGATAAATCTGATCAGAAATGACTAGAAACGGCCAGATCCATGGCTATTAATGGCCATCGATCTGGCCGGAAACGGCTAGAATAGATTTTGCCATTTCCGGCCAAATTTTTCATGATCTGGCTATTTCTGGTCTCTAGCTAGAGATCTGACCAGAAATGACCATATCGGTGCTGGCCGCCAACCAATTGACAACTGCAGTGGTGGCTGGCCGACAATGTTAGTTTTGGTGGGCTAAAATTTGTTTTAAATACAAGGGCATTAATGTCCAAAAACTTAATTAATTAACGGTAAAATTTTAATGACAGGTTCATGTAAATTAATTTAAAAATAAAGACATTTTTATCCTAAAATTTTATTAATAAGAGATAAAATTGTAACAAAAATTAGATTATCAAATAATCTTAAAATACGTAAAAAAATTGAGGTAATCAAATTACTTTCTATAGTATTAACAGTAATTACTATTGGTTTTAGAAGATTACCAGAATCTTATATTACTTGACAACCATATATGATAATCAAATAATATAAGATGACATTACCTCACTAATCCCCCATTATTCCCAACCAAACAAACCCTAAAGGGATATATATGTTCAAAGATGTTTCTATTGATTAATATAGCATGGAGTTTGGAGATATGGTTAATTTTTTAACCCCCTAAATTTTGATTGATTTTTTAATATCCCCCTAATCCCAAATGGGAATACATTACTCTTTAACTTCAAAAAATCTAATGAAAATAACAAATAATAATAAAAAGAGTATGCACAACCTTATCTGGTTTTGCAGCTAATTTTGCAACTCAAATTATTTTGGTACATCTTCAAAATCTACCAAACGCATGTTTTTATTGCTTATTGGATTTTTTTTAATGATCCCATCAATTTTTTCCATAAATTGTACATTTTTTAATTAATGTAATGTTTGATTATTTTAAACATTATATTATTATCCACACCACATTATAATCTTACACCATTTGGGATACTTTAAATTTTCTCAAACATCAAGAAAATTACAAACCCAGATACTGCAGAATCTTTGCACATTATAGGACAAACAACTAACATATTTCATATTTTTTATTTAAACTTTGTTCATCCTAATAATCTGTCTTAAGCTTTTGTACTTGGTTCATTAAACCAATTCCAATATCATGTGGGGAAATGACAATGGAGCTAGGAGTTCCCAAAATCACAATGTTCATAGCTTCTTCAGTCACAGAAAACTTGATGAAAGATAAAAGAACTTAAATTGCCTAAGGAAACTTCTTGTAGGAAAAATATACAAGAAATGAACAAAGTTCGACTATGTGAAGTATGAACTAAACAAAATAAAATGATGCTTACAAGGACTTATAGGGTATGACAAATGAGGCAATTGAGCATTTCAAATTCACTAACACATCGTTTGATAGACGTAATACTTGTAAGACCAAAGATTTCCTTGGAAGAGAGACCACTAACAGATCAAAAACTTGCTATAACTCAAAATTTTTACAACAGATGTGTAAATTTTATAGGATTTAGTATCTGTGGTGACTCCATTGTGTGCTTCAGGCTGACACTCAGGAGGTCAACGGTAGCTGAGAAGTTTAGGAAATATTTCTTTGTTAAAAGATGCATCTGATTCGAGGAGCTGCATGATTCTCTATACTTCAAAGCATCGAGTGGATGCATCTCCGAAATTTGGATAATTCAAGAGTTGTATTCAGCAGAGAACATATCTATATCAACAGCACCTGGAATTTTCTCGTCTCAATGCTGCAATTGAGATACTCAAATGTCCAAAATTTGAGAAAATATTCTCCACTTGAGGTGCTACAACTCCTCCAAAACTGAGGAGATAGCAGCAACCTCACATAATAAACCACACAAGGAAGCAGGAAAATTAAGATTGTTCTGCCTGTACAACTGTTAAGATCCAACATTGGAAGGAAAAATGGTGGGCATGTGGGTTTATAAGGGTTTCGGCACCCTCCATTGGCAAACTGGTTTTCCAAGGAGAGTTCTACCGAAGCATATGAAAGACCCATGGTCTAACCCAATTGTTGAGTTATTAGAGTGGGTTCCTATTGAATGTTATTAGAGCCAAACTTGCCTGAGCCCATATTCCAGAAAGGGCGACCTGAGAAAGGGCTACCTAGGAAGGGGCGACCTCTGAGAGTAGGTACCTAAGCCCATGAAAGAGCCATGACCCAACCTAATTGTTGAGTTATTAGAGTGGGTTCCTATTGAATGTTATTAGAGCCAAACTTGCCTGAGCCCATATTCCAGAAAGGGCGACCTGAGAAAGGGCTACCTAGGAAGGGGCGACCTCTGAGAGTAGGTACCTAAGCCCATGAAAGAGCCATGACCCAACCTAATTGTTGAGTTATTAGAGTGTGTTCCTATCATATGGTATCAAAGCCAAACCTCACCCGATCCCATGTTCCAGAAGGGGCTACCTAGAAAGGGGCGACCTCTAAGAGTAGGCCACTCAGAGTGAAGTCGTCCAGAGTGGGCTAACCATGTTTTGGAAGGGGCAACCTGGGAAAGGGCTACCTGGGAAAGGGCTACCTGGGAAAGGGCTACCTGGGAAGGGGCGACCTTAGAGAGTAGGCCACCCAGAGTGAAACTATCCAGAGTGGGCCAACGTGGACGTTGGGTCCCGAAGCGTGGAGAAATGTTAAGATCCCACATTGGAGGGGAAAAGGGTGGGCATATGGGTTATAAAGGGCTTGAACATCCTCCCTTGGCAAACCGTTTTTCCAAGGAGAGATCTACCCAAGCCCACAAAAGGCCTATTGCCCACCCCAATTGTTTGAGTTGTTAGATGGGTCTCTATCAACAACCTACTAGAACTGAAGACCATCTACAATAATCATTCAACAATGATCCCAACGCTAAAAATATCCCCAAAACCTTTCATAGTACATTTCTATATCAGTAAAAAAGACAATGACATTATACGTAAACCTTTTCTTCTCCTCACTGAACATTATATGTAAACTGTGTACTTAAAATAGTTTAACAAATTTTTGTTTTCTAACATTTTATCCAAAAAAAATTTCCGAACTCAAATCTTGCAGAAATACAAACATTCACAAGAAAGAAAAACTATCTTTTATAATCCTTTCTCAGTTCTGTTTCAATTATTTCAAGCTTCGCAAACTTATGCCATAAGCAAAATAGTTATGATTTCACCAGTTGATTTTACATTGGTTATTCTTGGCTCAAACACTCTTCTGGTCTTCATCTTTAATGTGTTTAATTAGTACGGTTTGTTCGGCGATTTCATTCGAATCTAACTATCTCAATAATTTATGTAAGACTTAATTAAGTAAACATGAGTTATAAGAGTAACTAAGTAAACAGAGTTACACTATGGTGCATTTGATTGGAATCCAGGGGCTCAAAATAATAATTAAAACTCGTAGAAATCAAAAGCTCTGAGAAAACCCATTACTGTAAACCAACGTTTTTCTTTTCTTATCAGAAAAGGCAGTTGTTCTTAACAAGGTTGTATGTGGGTCAATAAAAGGGTTAACTAAGACCCTCAATTTGAACGTAAAAGGAAAAAAAGAAGATATCAATCTTGAATAGAAAGGTTAGGAGACAAACTAGCAGCAGATAATCTAACACTTGATTATATAATTATAAAGTATATAGTATTTGCATAAAGAAATCCTTAATTTGAATTTAATAAAAATATCGTATTCAGATTTTAGAATAATGTCTAGATAATAGTTAAATTTAAAATAAAAAAACTCAATTTAAACCAATTCTGAAATATTTATATTTTTTGATTTCACAAACATATATTAAAGGCTTGATGTAAAAGAAGGCAACATTAAAAAAAGACTAACACTAAAACTGAAGGATTGCATGTATATGTAAAACTCAATTACCTACAAAAGAGAATTTTCAAGTAGAGCATCTTTAGCATAGATATGATATTCATTCCAATAAACCCACAAATCTAACAAATAGGGAAATCAATTGCCCTGTTGGAACACTATTAAACAAAATTTGGAAGCATAATACAAAACATAGTGAAGAAAAGGGCAAAAAAAAAAAAAAAGAGTTTCAATTTCAAAATTCTCATACAGCAGTCTTTCAGACATTTCGCAAAGCATTAAGAGTCAGAATCATCTGACCTTGACTGCACCCGATAATTGCGACTGGGTTTTTTGAAACAAGAACTGTCCTCTGTTGCTGCATTTGTTTCTGGCTCAGTCCCATCCAATGCAATAGCTTCAGAGTGTTGGGATTCTCCAGCAGCAATACCAACAGGAAAGACTGCTCGAGGCAGGGACAGCTCACCATAATCTTCCTTGTTTCCTTTGATCTCATCACTAATCTCTGCAGCTTTAGCTTCACCAGACCTCTTCTTTGGGATAAAAGTCACTGACTTTGGAAGATTACCAGAAGCATTCTCTAGCTCTGGCGCCAGCTCTTTAGCCTTTGAGCTTTTGACCAGCTTCAGCAAATCCATACAAGTGTTGGATTCCTCATCATGTTCACTCAACGAATCGAAACTGTAGCGTGTATACTTAGAAGGATTCAATAAGTAATCAGGAATCCTAGAAGCATTATGAGCAAGCTGAGATCCATCATCTGAATCAGTAGGATTCATTGAAGAGGTGCTGAAAGAAGAGTATTCAAATTCTTCTGATGCTTTTTCACCATCAATTTTACAACCAGGGTCAAACCTGACACGTTTTTGCGGCTTAGAATCTGCAATGTTATTCTTCCTTTTCAATATAGACTTCCGTTGACCACCATATTCAGATAATCTAGCATGTGATTCCTTAACTGCTGTACCAGAACCAGGATGAGGAAAATTCATTTTTTGAGCTTCAACTTCATCTTCTTTCAGCCTAATTCTTGCTGAGTGGTGATTGGCACGTGGATCTTTAGTCCCATTTATTGAGTTGGGGAGCACATTGTGCATGTTCAAATAAGAGCCTCGATTGGTTACATCATTCATATATAAACGCTCATCAGCATTTTCTCTACCTGAAGCTACTTTGTCAAACTCATCTTCCTCTTCCTGCATGCAGCCATAAAACATATTAGCTCTAAAGTAAATTATCAAAAGAAAATATATGAAGAAACAAGAAAGAAAGAACACCTACACATATTCACTCTCCCCTTCATTAAACTTCCCTAGCACACACCAACTCCACATTCATTTTGAACAACTAGAAAAATTTCCAAATAAACACACGGAGCCCATCATACCATAAAATCAAACAAAACACGGGGGTTGTCTTATCGTGTGCCCTAGAAATAAAAAATTTAGTTTTTCGATGCATTAGAATTTTATTTTTTTTCTTTTGCACATAATATAGATGGAAGTAGATAAATTTTTTGCCTTCTAATGTTCTTAATGTGTGTCCTACAACCAAAAAACAAAAAGAATCGCAAACAAGTTCCAAAAAAATTAATCAATAAATTGTCAGATTTTCCCCTGAAATTGTCACCATTAAGCATCAACATTGTCCTTAACAATGTCAAGTGCCAATCCTCACTCATACTTCATTGTATCCTACTTCCTATTTTATTACATAAATTACCTCTTCAAATAGATAAATTTATTTTTAAATCCTAAATTGAGTCTACAATGCCTAAAAAAGAATAAAAAAATTTATAAAATTAAACATATTTCTCAAGTTTATCCCTAAATTCCCCTATATCTACAAAAGCAAATACCATTAACTATAAAAAGAAAAGAATTAATAAAAATAATTATTACCTCATTATCGAGAGTGTTGTCCATGCCAATGGACGATCTGATTTCCCATTCATTTCCATCTTTCTTGGAGAAATCATAAAACGATGAGGAACAGGGCGTTTCGTCCCTGGCTGAGGTGTCTTTCTCTTGGAGTTTCCACCGCCGCCTCTCCACCTCGTCGTCGGTGAGAGACCAAGGAGTGGAGGCGGAAGGAGCCAGTGAACCGAAGATCTTTTCTACTCGACCTCTGAAACTCTCCTCCATCAACGATTGAATTTTATTGATTGATTGATTCAAAATGGAAGTGAAAAGGAAATTTATTTAGTATTATGATTTTGCTGCTGTAAACCACCGTCTTATTGTGAGGTTGCTTAGACAAAGTGTTAGAATATTTGGGCCGAACTTGTTGGGCTCCATCACTATTGGACCCTTCCACTTGATATATTTATATGTTAAAACTAGTGATGGAAAAGCAACTCGACCGGTCCGACCCGGCCCGCGGTGGGTTGCTGCAATTGACGGGTCGGTCTTGACCCATCCGGCGACATTGACGGGTCGGGTTAGGCCAGCCAACATTAGAGAATTGGCTGGCCCAACCCGGACCGCCAACCCTAACCCGCCGGGTTAACCCGCTTTTTAACTTTTTTTTTTTATTTTGTTTTGTTTTATTTTATTTAAGTTTAAATGTTTTATTAACTTTTCAAATGAATAATTAACAATTTATAAATGTAATTGTTTTTAGTTAATTGTTAATTTCTTTTCAAATATCAATAATTAAATTAAATTAAATTTTTTTTGTTAACATTCCAAATATTAATTCAATTTTAATACATTAAAATTGTAATATAAGAATAATTAAATTAAAGAAAGAGAATTGGAGTATGGAAATTGGAATTTGGAAAATTGGAAATATGAATTAAAAATTGCAAAAACTAATAAAAATTAAAATATGAGCAAATTGCAAAAACTAATAAATGAATAATTGAGACTTGAGAGATTAGAGATTAGAGAATTTGAGTTGTGAGAAAAATGTGAGAGTTTAGGGCCAATTTATAGGAAAAAATAGGAAAGAAAAATGACAAAAAAGACCCCTCCAACGGCTATATTTCAAGGGTGAAGGAGTAATTTGAAAAAAAAAAAAATTTATTTTTTTCGGTCAACCCGCTAGGTTGGCTGTTGCAACCCGGCGGGTTGGCGGGTTGTAACGTACAACCCGCCGGGTTGCACATAGCCAACCCGACGGGTTGCCGGGTCTCTTGCAAAAGAGACAAAACAGCAACCCGCCGGGTTGCGGGTTGCCATTGTGCAACCCGGCCCGCCCGGGAGTTGCTGCCGGGTTAGGGTCAACCCGCATTTGTCTGGGCCGGGTTAGGGTTGACTCGCCTAACCCGGCCCAAAATTTCCACCTCTAGTTAAAACCATACAAATGGGAAATTTAATTGCATTTTATTAATTGCCCTGTTTGGATTCCCGATTGGAATGGAATAGGAATATGTAATTGGCAATGGAAATGAAAGGAATGAAAAGATTAAAGAGGAATGTAATGGGATCATATTGTTTGCTTGTAATAAGGAATCATGATCAAATATAATAAAATTTGCTTTTTTTTTTTGGATGAAAATACTCCTAATTTATTTTATTTAACAAATATAAATTTTATCTTTTATTTAAATATAAAGTTTCAGAATTTAAGAAGTTACTGTTTGTTTCCATATTCTTCCCCTATTCTATTAATATCATTTCCAAAATACAAATTTGTTTTCCTATTTTAAAAATATTATTATATTATATTTAATTATTTAAATCCCCTACATTTGTTAATTTAACTAAACACCCTCCAAAAAAAGTTTAGAAATTGACAAAAACACCCCCACCACTCACATTTGCCAGATTTCGACCACCACCGTCGGAAGGAAGGTGGGTGAAATATGTCACAATGACGCACTATCGACCGGTAATGCTCCGATCTGGCCTTTTCCAACCAAATCCACCATGGATTTGGCTAGAAAAGGTTAGATATGACCGTTAATGACGGCCAAGAGTTTGCTATTATTGATCATCAACGACGGCCATTTCTTTGGCCGTCAGCAGACATTTTTCGGCCAGATCCATGGTGGATCTGACTGAAAAAGGGTATATCAGCACACGATTGGCCATATCCGATAGGTTATGCACTGTAATTCCGACGATGGTGGTCGGAATCTGACAATTGAGGATGGGGGTGTTTTTGTCATTTTATAAAAATTTTGTATATTGGAGTGTTTAGTAAATTAGCAAACTTAAAGGGGTGTTTTTTAATTTTTAAATTTTACCTCGTTATTACCATCCAACTCAACTTTACAATAATATTTCAAAAATACTACTTAAAATAACTAAACAACATTAGTTGACCTTAAGAAGAGTAAAAGACATGTCCCCACCCAAAATTTAGTGAACTGAGGTGCCCACCCCTAGTTTCATAAATTTCATATTTTTACCCTTAAAGTAATACTGTTAATAACTACTAAGTTCTAATACAAATGCAGATGATATTACCAAACTGCCCTCCCATCTTCTTCTTCTTCTTTCATTTTTTTTTTTTTTTTTTCGGTTAACCAATCTCGTTCATCTCACCAGCTCCAAATCCTCTAAAAGCTATGGCCACCGTCGTCGCCGCCACCACCATCCCAAAACTCATCCTACTTCTTCTGATAATTCTCCTCTCCTCCACATTACAATTACATAAATATCCAATGATTCAAGTTTTAGAATGACTTAAAATAAGTAAAAATTAAAAGGGAAGTAATTGTATTATCTTGTATATATAAAACATGTGGTGCGAATGAAGCCATTCTTCAACTTTCAGTTTCTTCACCAATCACCATGACATCTTTCATTTCTAACTTCTCTCCCTTTGGTACCCTTTTTTGTTCTTCATCTCCCTCAAACTCCACCAACAAGTCACCAGTGAAGCAGCCGAGAGAAGACTGGAGAAAACGCTCCAAACCCATTCCTCCAGGTGGAACTTATACAGCCAAAGACCATTGCAGGTCCTAAACATTTCATTTATTATTCCATCCAAGCTTTGTTTTCGTCAATTTATTAATTAGTTAATTTTTTTTTTTTTTTATTATGTACATGCATGGAGCAATCGCTGCGGTAAATCCCTTGGCCTCAAAAAGTGAAAGCTCAGCCACCTCCACTTTTACCTCAAAAAGCAAGCAACACACAACTCATATCAAGCAATCAGATTTCTCGGTGTCGAACTAGGACCCATATAAAAATAGAGAATCTATTTTCTTTTTCCCAAAAAAACAGATTTGGTGTTGGTTGTAGGCGTGGCTTTTCTTCGAGCAGGTTGTGGGCATGGCTTAGGAGTGCAGAAATCCGATCACATGGAGGTCGCTGGCGACCTGATTACACACAACAATCAACCACATACAATGAGCAATTAGGAGCCGGTATTAATTGTGTTTTATTTAAGGTGAAAACTAGCGGTGCCGAGGCTTCCAAGTGCGCCACAGTCGTGCAAGAACAACTACGGCAGCCAGCAACAAGCGAGCTGGTGCGGCTAGGGGGTTATGGGGTTTTGATAAGGGTGGGAGGATGAAGCCGATGATAGTGTCAGGTGGGGTGTTGGTGCCTTTAATCGGCGGGAATCCGGCAAGCAAAAAGTTGCAGTGGCCGGCGATTTGCGGGATCAACGGGGTTGGGGATAGAGGGTGAGAAAGGAGGTTTTTTAGGAAACGAAAATATTAAAATATATTGAATGACTATTTTAGCCTTTAATTGTTAAAAGAAATGGAATGGTATTAATTTAAGGAAAATGATAGACTTACCGACTGGTGTGTACCGATTTTGTGCACCGAATGACGTGACAAAATCTTGACCGTTGATTAATATTAACTGATAATAAATAAACCGTCAGGATTGTGCCACGTCATTCGGTGCACAAAATCGGTACACACCAGTCGGTAACTATAGCATTACTCTTAATTTAAAGGTGAAATCTGAAATTTATGAAACTAAGGGTGAGAAATGTAATTTTGCTAAACCTAGGGTAGGAACTTGTTCGTTTGCTCCCTTAAGAATCGATATCAGAATTTGACAAGAAAAGACACAAATGAGCTATTAAATATGACCTTAGAGCATCTTTAATGATATTATTTATTTTGAAGAGTATCTTTTATATAAATAAAAAGTATCTTCATTAATTTTTAAATATATAGAACAAAATTTTGATTCAAATCCAATAGCCTCTTTAAATTTTAAGAGAGAGAATATGTTTTTTCAAGAGAGAAAACTTACAATTTATTATTTAAAATTAGGATAGAGAGTGAAATTTGACTCTCTAAATGTGGAGAATCAAATTCACTCTTCAATTTATATTTAAAGAACAAAGAATCTGTTGGACTCTTGTTTCTATGAATAAACTATTTATAATAAAGAGTTTGAGTCATAGAAATAGTCTTTTGGAGATGCTCCTGCAACTTTATAATTAACTTGGTAACATGTACCAAAGGATATTTTGGGACGACCTAGAAGAACGTGGTCAATTTGTATTGTATGGTAACATTACTAGTAATATAAAATTGTATATAGTATTATTTATTATACACAATTTATATATATATACTAAACCTAGCTAGCGTATTATAAAGATAAGAGTATAAATAAAAATCACACTGTATAATTTGACCTTGATCACCTAGGTCGTCCTGAAATATATCTTAGTTAGCTGTTATCTTTTAACAGTAATTATTGGTTTTGGGGACCTCAAAATGGGATATCTTCTAATGACTGGCAGCACAAATCCTGAGAACATTAATCAACGTTGAAGAAAGATTTAGAACTCCTTTTTTTTTTTAAAAAAATTTTTAACAGTGTGAGAAAATTATTCTTTGAGATGTAAAATTTTAGGAATGAGAATTCTAAGGCTATAAAAGATTAATTAAAGTGTGCATAAATTTGTCCGAATATTTTCGATCATAAAAATAAAAAAATAGATATAAGAATAGGTGTATACCATCACTCTTTTAATTTATATTATTACATTAACCTATTTTAATTATTTGAGTTCAAATTAATACTAAACTAATTTATATGTCATTTTGATATTGCATGTTACACATAAAGGACGCTGCAACTAAATTTGCTTAGTAAATATCAATAAAAAAACATTATGTATCGCAAATTTGTGTTGATTTGAAGATTTTAATTGATATGATATTAATTGATTAGTAACGAAAAAGAATAAGAAAATAATTTATTAGTGTCTTAATATTTGATATATAAACTTGAGATGCATATTATATTATTCATAATAAAAGGTTGAAATTGTTGCACTGTTCATA